CATAGATCCCAAAGTGGAAAAGGAGATGAGGAAAAAGTTCAAGGTAAACCATTTTCACAATAAAAGAATTCATTTGGGTCTAAATAAGGAGATTTTCTGTTGAACTCTGACCTCTGAGTGTGTTTGTCAGTATGAAGGTCCTGTCACGGTGCTGCTGACCATGATGGTGGATCCTAACTGCATCATTAAAAAACTCGGAACCAAAGATCTTCAAGTGACGCCGGGAGAGATTGTGGATGTCATCCAGCAAACCAGCAAGAAGAAATATTTGTGCCAAAGCAGAACTGGAAAATGTTCGTGAACTTATTTAATCTGCYTAATTTAACTCATTTGTAGAAGCTGGCCTGTGACATGCTAATCCTAATCTCTTAATTTTACTTCAATCTCTGTAAAACTGACTGTGTTACAGTCATTATATATTTAATTTCACCTGTTGGTACCTGTTTTTTTTTTAATAAAAGCATTGACCTCAATTGTATTCATTGTTTAACAAGTACATGAGGCTTAAGAGAACCCAAAGAGAATAATTGTTTTTTCTCTTCACAGACGGTTACGTTTCCACAACTTTTCTTCTTCCCATGTAAGTTAATATTCCTTGGTCTCATAATTCAGCTGTTTATATAAAATGATATATTATTTAGTTCATTTAAAAATTATTTTTAAATCATTAGAATAGTAAAACAGACGTGTTAATGCCCAAAAAACAACTTTTAAATTTAGTTTATCAACTATTTTTCGCTTCAGGGAAGGAGAAATCTATGATGATGTCGATTATCCAAGTGGTGAGTTTAACCCCTTGCGTCCTGTCATTTTTTGTTTTACTATTACTGTTATTGAATAATAATATGTTTGTCTCTGTTTCAGACGTCTACGACAACGATTTCCCACAAACAAACTATTAAACATGTCAAACTTTATACATTTTAAGGCTGACAAACAAACTGTTTTAGAGACAAACTGAAAAAAACTGGATACAGATAAATCATGACAATGAAGTCAAGATGGAAACTTATTTAAAAAAAAAGTTTTGTAATGTTTTTTAAGCTGAAGTGACAATCAAACTAAGCTGAGTTCAGTTCAAACTGTGTGCACTTGTTCAACTTTAAACTGTTTACAAGCTGTAAACAAACTATTTTTCAGTTACATGAGTTATTAAGTGCAACAATCATTTTAAGGACTCATTTCTTGGATGCAGCAACATGAGATTTTTAAACTGTCCGTTGCATCGTCTGTCAAACTGCTTGTATAGAAAGTTAATACACTATTTCTGTTGCTTTGTGTGTTTTTTCAGCATTGAACATAATTTAAAATAAATATGATGTTTTTTTCTGAATTCTTTTGCGGGGCTCTGTTTGTCTTCTTTGGAGAATTAAAAAAAACATCAATGTTTAAGAGATTTAACCACTGGACTAAATTCCAGGTGACTTATTTCAGATTTTTACTTCAAGTTTATCGAGAACAGCAGTGAGACTGGAAACATGTTGACTCAAACCCTCAGAAATGTTTCAGTTTAAAACTGACAGATCTAAAGAGGAACCTGAATTTGTTGATYTTTGGGAGATTGCATCTTAAATCTTATCAATCCATTATTGTGTTTTTATTTTAAATATGAAGTTAAAAATAGCATGAAAGCATCRCTGGATGTGCCACAGACTCATTAGCTCAGCAGAATAATCTGGGTCCTGAAGATATAAAATGTAGCGAGCCTGGTTCAATTCTTGAAAAATTTATTTTGAGCAGTTTTAAAGTGTTTCTCCACTATTTGCATAATAATAGGATAAAATTAGGGAAGTAAGAACTCCACATAAGGAAGGAAGTTAGCTCAGTGGATAGGAGTCATGACTTTGGTTTCAGGCACACAGGATTCGATTCCCACAACCAGCCTTGGTTAATGAGCATCACCTGCTGTAGAGTTTTAGTTAAAACCTCATCAATCTTTAGATGTGAATAAACAAGTTTTTCTCTCTCTGATGTTTATTTAATGACTACATTAAGATGCTCAGATGATCATTCAGTGATTAAGGTTGCCCCTGAGATTTGAACCCAGATTGCAAAATCTTTCTGAACTGAACATAAGTGACTTAACTGGACTAACTCCAAGCTCACCTGAACAAAGGTTTTACCTCTTGAAGAGTAGCAAATGAATATTTCAAGAGTTTACAAAACTTTGCAGGTTTTTACAGTTTGTCACATTTGAAC